GCAGAACTCCTAAATGCAATACTATTTCTTATTACTGTAGGAGAAAGAAAAAAAAAGTGGAGACATTAAATAATTTAAATTACAACCTACATAAATGGAAAAGCTAAAATTTTTCTCCATACTAATGTATTTCTCCCACTAGCTGAGAACAATCCCCAGGAAATATTTTCACATTAAAACATCTTGCATTTGTTCTCTCCTTGTTAAGTCCCTATAAACGCAGTATCTCTTGCTTAAGTATATAATTATAATGTCCTTCTTTTGAGGAGTGCTGTTATGCACAGCAGCCTGGAAGATTATATGAACCTGTTGCAGCAAGACCAGGAGGTACCTCCCTTGAACTGGGCTCAGACACTTTCTGTCACAGCAACCTCATCACATGTTGCCTTTTAAAGTAAACTTGTTTAACTGCTCCTTAACAACAAACAGCATTTTTGGCCTTCACTTTTCTTATTTGGAGCTATATCCTCTCTCTCTGACAGTTGGTTTATTCACATGTATGTTATGCTTATTTGGTTTGATGCAGTCTTTTTTCCTTACCTCATATAATCCTTTTCCCTCCATGGTGCTTATCCATTTACAGTAGTTACAGGAAGCAATGATACCTCCCTTTAGAATTTTCCCAGAGTTGGCTCTCTACAGCTTTGAATTTAATCTATAATGTTTTTTTTTTTTTCTTTCCTGTTAAGAAATTAATAGTACTGGGAAATTATTAACTCTATAAGTAATAATCCCCAATCTTCAGTGGAGATACTTCACATGAGATATCTTGGGGTAACATTTGTTGTGTTTTGTTTTTTTTTTTTCAGGCTAAATCAAATTGCTGACTCAGTTACAAGAGGAAAGTCAGGCTTCCTCTTTCCCTGTTAATGAAGTATATCCTCTAAAACATATCCTCATACTTTATCTTACATTTAAGCTGCGAAAATTTATCCCATCAACATTCCTTTTCACATAATCTTCTTAAAAAAGCTTAAAAAGGCTTAAAATAAACATAAAAAAAAAAAAAAAAGTGAAAACTGAGACCTTTCTTCAAACATCTGCATTGTTAGCACATCCTAGAGCCTATAGGTGGTTCCTTAGCTAGACGTCTTATACTTATCCCCACATTATCCAGCTGAACACAGAGTTTTTCAAATGGAGCTATATCAAATATTGTACTCTTTCAAAAGCTTCATATCATATTCATGGCTGAAAAAATCTAAGAAAGCTATTAGATTGTTCTCATATAATCTTCCTTTGGTACACTGGCCCTGCTACTGCTCACAACATTTCCAACTTGCTTCATCTCGCATTGGCAAAGTAATCAGAAACCAACTACTTCAATTGTTAGTCTTTTAGTCTGTCCATTAAATTGCATCGCACAGGCTTGGCTTCTGTACACATAAGGAACTGGTTGAAAATTTGTCTCATGCTTTGGTAAAATAGAATAATCTCCCAGGTCTCTTTTGTTCTCAGATATTTCTTAATTCCAAAATGACAACAAAAAGGTTAAAAGAAAAAAAAAACTCCAGAGCTTTGCTGCTTGTTTGCCATACTTAGGATGTGACATTTCTCCTTCTAATATTATGTACTCTATTTTTTATCCAGTGCACACAGGTGTTCCATCATGTTTAGCATAAATTAAATCAGGTTTACTCAAGAGAAATGCAAAAGAGCTAACACTAACGTGCTGTTTCATATTCAGAGAAGAATGAAGCTGTTAAAAGAAAAAAAAAAAAAAAAAAAAAAAAAAAATTTGTTCCTAGAATTATATTCAAACCCTGTTTATATTCACATGTTTCCAAAAGAGGAAGTCCAGTGAAATACAGTTTTCAATTCCTCTTAAACATAGTAATCAGTTTCAAAGAGCTGAATAACGAGCCACCCGAGTTACAGAAAAGTTACAGACTTTAAAACAAAAGGATTTTTACATGCTGATGCAAGAGTTTTGGGGAGAGCATAAGGGTGAAACAAAGGTTAGGAAAATGTAGGCTCTGCAGCACCAAGACTATTCAGAGTACTTTGCCTACTCAGTGCCAGTGTAACAAAAATGTAACTTAAAACCTTTTAAATATAGTATTTCTGTTTAAATATTAACAGCAAAAGAGTGTAATTCTTTTCTGAGCTTTCAGAGTTAGAGGTATAGCTTTAGTTCACAAATTCACTGGTCTAAAAAATATCACTTCTTCATGACAATAAGCATGGCATTTGTTAATCTGATTGCAATACAGCATTCCAAAGAATTCCAGTTCCATGTAGCAGAAAACTTCCAACAACGGGGAAAAACAAACAAATCAAAAAAAAAAAAAAAAAACCATAGAATTTTTGTGTGCTACTCCACATCTGAAAAGTCTGTCTTTATAAAAGAAAACATCCAGATCTACACTACACAAAATTTTGCACATGACCCCTAGTAAATCTTTAGCTCTGCTATCAAGGGTGGCTTCTTTGGTGGCACTCATTTGGTATTTGGACACATTAGTTCTGAGTAGATGACAACAGAACAATAATCTTACTGGCTTCCTCCCCCTCAAGGTCAGCACCATCCTTTCCCTCCAAAATGCGAAGTCTCTAAGAGTTAGAGGGAAAATAAAGAAGAAAATATAGAAATATTTTCTTTTCCTCTATTATTTCCTCTATTATTTCCTTACTCTTACCTCCCCAGTTATGCTTGAAACTGAAATGAACAATTTGAATCCCTAAAATGCAAAAAAAATAAAAATAAAAATACAAACCCCAGAATATTTATCTCTATAAATTTTATATAGATAGAGGAAATTAAAAAAAAAAAAAAAAAAGTGTAAAAAAGTATAGGCACCTACTATTTCAATTCTGATAAATAAATTAATTTTCTCAGTGGGTGTGGTGGTTTTACCCAGCTGGGCAGCTGAACTCCACCACAACTACTCTTTCACTCTTCCTCCTCAAAGGAAAAAGAGGAGAAAATACGATGAAAATGGCTTAAAGGTTGAGATCAGGACAGGCAGATCATTCACTGATTATTGTCACATGCAAAACAGAATCAACTTAGGGAGATTCATGTAATTTGTTACCTATCACTAGTAGACTATAGAAGTGACAAACTTAGAACAAACTAATAACAAACTAAAAGCAAACTAAAACTTCCCCCATCCATCCTCTTCCACCTCCTCCCCTCAAGCAGCAGAGGAGAATGGAGGCTGCAGTCAGTCCCTAACACTTAATTTCCACCACTCCTTCACAGTCACTCTCTGCCCCTGCTCCATGCGGGGTCCCTCCCACGGGATGTCATCCTTCCCAAAATGACCCTGTGGGGGCAGCTCTTCAAGAACTGCTTCCACATGAGTCTGTCCATCAGGAAGCAAACTGCTCCAACATGGTTTCCCCATGGATGGCAGATCCCCCCAAATCACCTGCTCCTGTGTGCACCCCTTTCCATGGGCTGCAGTGTGGAGATCTGCTCCATGTGGGACCCATGGGCTGTAGGGGGGACAGCCTGCTCCACCAGGGGCCTCTCCACAGGCTGCAGGCTGCTGCATGCCTGGTGCATCTCCTGCCCTGCTGCTGCACTAACCTTGGGGCCTGCAGGGCTGGTTCTCACCCCTCTCTCCCAGTCACAGTTGGGGAGCATTTTTTGTTGTTTGTTTGTTTTCCCTTTCTTGACTCTGCTCTCCCAGAGACCCAACCGACACTTCTCATTGGCTCAGCACTGGTCAGCAGCAGGTCCCTTTTAGAGCCAGCTGGTACTGGCTCTGATCTGACATGGGGCAGCTGCTGGACTTTTCTCAGAGGTCACCCCTGCAGCTCCCTCTGGTAACAAACCCTTGCTACATAAAGCCGATAGAGTGAGAGGAGAGAAAATTGGCACTGAAAAGTACAGAAGTGATGACTCTTGTGAAGAGGAAGGAACTAAAAGCACTTATCTCACATTGGTTTGGGTTTATTCCATATCTCAGTGTTTCTTAAAAGTGAAACTGGGCTGTGGGTATTTAGCAGTATTCATGAGGTTTGCTTATTTCTTTTAGAAAATTTGCTATCAATTTGTATGCATATGGAATTGGGGGAGGGGGGGACAGAGAGGCTGGGAAATCAGCTGAACCTTTCAAAGTAATTAGTTATGCATCAGATAAGTTGTTTGCTACAGCTGCATAACTGAACTTTTTTTTTTTTTTTTGATTTGGGATTCAAATTAACTCATAAATATTGAAATTATAAGCTTAAGGAAATGGCACTATTTGATGCATGGCCTATTTCTAAGAATTAGTCTAATAGAGAAATCATGGCTAAAGCGTTACCATTTTAGTACGGCTGTACTGCTATTCTACTAACACTTCACTGACCCTCTTAATAAAAGGCCCATGTAGTGATTATGGTGCTTCTGTGCACTATTGCCTTCAACCTCCTGCTATACTATTCCCAGCACCTCATTATGTTGGATTTTCATTCAGAAGTGTTTTCCTCACTGTTAACTATTGCAGTACTAAAGCACCTCACATGAGTCTGCTTCATAGACTGCTTATACAGAATCTGTAGTATGGTTTTCCAGTGTTTTAGTTCTTTTACCATACTGGATATGAAACTGTCAAGTGTCTTCCTACCCTTACTACTTCCTAGAAAAAAGCCTATTAACCAGTAATATCAGTGTGAAACACTCAATGTGAAAATTCAGACAAACTTTTTTTTTTATTTTTTCTTTCTAACAGGCAAACATTCTTCCTACTTCTACTGGGCCCCTTTGCTGACCAGGTTCACATTTTACGGCATTCATGAAAACACAGAGGGTTTCTGTGTGTATACATGTATAATTCCACACCTTCTATGTAGAGTCTTACTTGGTACAAATGGTTTACATGTTTTTAAACTACCAACCTATCTCATAGCTGGTGTTCATGTTAACATTACTTGTTAGTAAAGTCCTTCACCATCATTTATCTGAGCCCCTAGCATTCTACAGCTGTGATCTATTGCATGTGCTAAATTGGCATGTGAGTGAGGCTACAATATGGAAGTTGCTCTGCTTTTCAATGATTTGCTTTTAACTGCCCTTGATTTCTAACTCCTTCCATTTCTGATCACTTCTGTCTCTTGAGTGTGAGAATCAAGGATTCTGGTAAGGTTTTTCTAAAGATTTTTCTAGCGCTGCTTCTGTTAGTTGTTTTCATTTCTGGTTGGTTTGCTTGAGCTACTGAGATTATAACCCACAATGTGCAGTCTAACTGCCAATGTCTCCTCCTGATGGACAAAGTTGATGAGCTTTCAAGGTTTTAAAATTCTTACCATAGTCGAACATCCAATTCTCAGGTACATTCATTCTTGTCCTTGATCTTTACTTATTCTTTGCTCCATGTTGTCACCTTGCTTCAGTGAAGCCTGCTTATAGAGATGTGTCACAAATTACAACACTGTTGAGAGGGGAATCTGATTAAGTACCTCACCATTTCCCCATCTGCTCTTTTTGTTCTGAGCTGACTGATTTGTCTCCTTACATTAAAAGTTTGAATGCTTCTTTGACTCCCTCTTTCAATCATATCTGTTCCTTATCAAGTGTTTTATCCCACTACTATTGATAACAGGAATTGCACTGCAGCAGGTGTGGGAACTTGTTAAAATAGACATTTTACAATGGTCCTGAAAAAATATCCTTCAGTATATTACCACCTGTAGTAAATATGACTGCTACAAGAATTGTGACTCACATAAACTTAATTCAGTGCATTCTTTCCTACCCTGAGAATATTAAACACCATCATGCTGTTAATCAACCGTTCAAAAAATTATTTTAATAACTCTAAAACTGTCTCTGTGCTGGGAACTGTATCTCAGCTGTCATATGCAATCATAAAATGCACTAAGGTAGGACATCAAATGTGGGATTATTCCCTGAAGTATTTTGTTGGGTGTTTCTTGCAAGTCTAACAATTACCAGGAAACTTTGGGTAACCATGGGTCTGCATAAAACACTGAGGCACAGATAGCCAGCAAAACACTCTAGCTTAAATTCTTCCCCATGTTGAAATCATTTCCACAACCACATACTTTCCTTGGTGATCTTACATCTAAATCTAAATTAGGCATAGCCCCAGACTGAGAATACTACAGAGGTTCGGTTCTGCTAGTTCTAGAAAGTTGCATCACATCAAAATCCAATGAGAAATGAATACATTTTACACTGATATAGACCATATGACAAGTATTATGTCTTTATAAATTAATTTCAATTTTAACTGTGCTGTTTTTTTTCTCTAATAGCTTGTGATACATTTCTAAAAGTTGTACTAGATAAGCATAGAGGAGAGAATTTGCCAAGGCAAGCAAGAAAAAGAGAGTGTGTTTAAGAACTAACTTAAAGCTCCAGAGTGATATAGTTAGACTTCATACTCTGAAAGTCTGAACATTTCAGAAATCAATGTACAGTCAGTCAAGCAAGCCACAAATAAAATGAGCAAGCTGGACTTAGAGACTAGACACAGGGATACAAACAACGGAATGAAGACATAACTCTGCTGCCAAATGTAGTCTTCTTCCTGAATTCCTCAGTTCAGAACAAATTCTTACTTACTGACTATAATAAATACATTTCTGGTGCTAAAAGATTTCCCAGAGATCTTGGGGATAATAATATATTTTAATGTAAAATAATTTATATTTTCTGTGAGTCAAAAATTGTAGAGAATTCTAAAGCAATCTTGGTTCAGGATTACCAAGGAGTACCAGCTAAAAACTATTAAGGTTGAGCAAAAAGAAAAGAGATCTCGAAATAAGAAGACGTGAACACGGATTGAGAGAAAGCAGACACACGGGCCCAATTTATATGTACACACATATGCAAAAAACATTTGCAATACAAAAAAGAGGCAGGAGAAAAAAAAATCATAGAATCATTCAGGTTGGAAAAGACCTGCAAGATCATCTAGTCCAACCTTTCACCTAGTACTAAAGTCCACCACTAAACCATGCTACTAAGTTTCAAATCTACACATTTCTTGAAGACCCACAGGGATAGTGACTCAATCACTTCCTTGGACAGCCTATTCCAATGACATACAACATTTTCAGTAAAGAAATTTCTCCTAATATCCAACCTAAACTTCCCCTGGTGCAACTTGAGGCCATTTGTCCTTGTCTTGTCACTTGGTGAAATGTGTATCAGTATAAATGCACCTATATAATGCATAAATAAGTAACAAAAATAATTGTATTTAAAAACACAAGAATTAATATATTTAACAAACAATTTTTTAAATTTCAGCAGCTGAGGAACTAAACGGCAGACCAGTTCAAATCAGATTTACCACTTCAATAAAAAAAAAATAAAAAAGAAAGAAAGAAAAAAAATGATCTGGTTGCAAGACAATCTTCATGCTTATATTTTACCTTATGATTCACAGTTGTAAAGTTCACACCCTTGAAAACAAAGGATTGTCGAGCTGGAATCATACAAGTTACCTTTTTGGAAGTGGGCAACATGTGATACTTCAGAGAAATAAGAGAGTGGATATGTACTTCTCTGAAAGAAAAGAGGAAACTCTAAAAAGAAAATTTCTCCCTAGAAATGAATCAGACTGGACTTATACAAGTTAGTTGGTTCAGAGTTTAAAGACCAGATACACTAGACTTAATTTTTATTTTATTTCAACAGCCTTTTTTCCTGTAACCACAAAAATATTTGACAAACTTAAATTAATGAAGTTTCTGCAATTTAGACAATTCTTAAGTAATTTCATGCAAACATGTAAAGGAGAAAGCAATATTTCTAGTAGTAACCATTGCAGAAATATGGTAGATATTTAATGTGCACTCATCGTCTACAGGCAGAAGGATAAAGTAATAAAATGGCTTCTGGTAAAGCCTTTTGCCTGCCTGAAAAAAGCCTCAAGGAAGAGAAACAGGTTCCTGAAATGACCCTCAGAAGCTCTTCCAAATGCATTACCATCCATTTTCAGATCTACTAGCGGAAAGTTGGTGAGTGGACTTTATTTTCCTGTCTGAACTACCAGCTGATTCACATCTATCCTGATTAAGACTAAGTCAAGGCTGGTCAAGCCTTGGAGTGTTCACTGCCTGTGGCAGGCACACAGTACCATGACCTTTTCCTTTAGGACAACAAAGTGCCTCCAGCACATGAGGCACCTCTATCTCATTTACTTAACATGTAATCTGTGATCATAACAGCATGCCTTTAATAGACTTTATAAGGCTTTAGGATTGCTAACATAGCATAGTCCTTGCAAGTGTTGACCAAAGCAGCCTTAATTTTCTGCTCAAGTATTATAACTCCATAATGTCAAACTCAATTGAAACATACTATATGTCAACATAGTATGATGCTACTCACAGTGGAGTGAGCTCTGGGGCAAAGAATATCCAAAACCACAAGAATTTGTGAAATAACTTCTGCATAGACTACACGGGTCAGAAATCCAGACAGCATAAGCGTTATTTATACTGTAAGCAGGGGTGAGAGTATATGCATTTAGCCCATGCCCAGATTTCCTGAGGTTAATGACCTATTTAGTTCACCCTAGAAGGCACATGAGCATTAATCCACATGGATGATAAGCAACCATAGCATCCACCAAGAGATACACCAGTATTAATTCACCTGTAGTGAGATTATTTCTTGACATTGACCTCCTAAGAACTGGCATGGGTTTTCAAGCCAAGACAGGCAAGCATTAGGAAAATGCATCAAAGGGTTTATATCTAGTTACTATGATGCTTCCACTTCCTTATAAGAGGTGGAAAGACAACAGGTTCACTGAACATTATCTGCCTCAGAGTAGAAAAAAAATATAAAATAGTTCAGCAATTGCTTTGAAATGTAGGCTGGAAAGAATGAGGGCTTTAAAAAGGCTGTTAATTCTAAAATATCTGAATACCTTAACTTGAATCTGAGTGCTTTCAAGCCTGTATGTCTGCATCATAAACTTTTGAAAATGGCTCTTAACAGCAATAATCCCAGAGAGAGTTGCTATTGCTGCAGTTCCTTCCTATTTTAGAGGAATGTTCTCTACTCTCATACTTGCCTCAGGCCATTAAATAATAAATAATTATCAGAAAATTCTTTGGTAACTGGGTTCATTATTAAAGCAAGATATGTTTTTTGTTTTGTTTTGTTTTGTTGTTGTGTTTTTTTTTTTAAATGTTCATTTTTTTTCAGATATGACTTTACATAAACAAAAGTTGATTTCTTTCCAATGCAGATTTTGTGTTTGCAACTCAACTAACGTGCAACAAAGGCGAAATAAGCTAAAATATAATGGGTGATATTAAAGTAAGGTTTGCAGACTGAGGAAAGCCAGTCTTGGAAAGAAAATGCCACCTTTGGAACCAGATTTCTAAATAAATCAGGGATTACAGTCTGGATGAAGTATACAGTGTGTAGCTTGCAAATGGAGGCCCACAGTTTCTAGGTTTTAGGTTCAACCTAAAAGAGTCTCTTTCCTATTTGTCCCTTCAGCTGCTGCTTTATTCGCCTTGCCTCAAATGCTCTCACTGTGCATTCTACAGATGTGATTGACAGGATTCAGTTACCCACAGATAAATAACTGGGGTCATTTGAGGTGCTGCTAGGCACCTGGAAAGGTGCAGGAGTTCACTACTCCACTAGTGAACTGTAAATCTGTAGCCTGCTGCTACAGATTTCTTGGCTGTCCTGAGCATCCAAAATGTTACTAAATGTCTCTGTTCAGGTCACTGAATCCAGCCCAGGATGTCTAATCCTCCATTCCCCACTGAGGTAAGGGGCCCCAAGAGCAAATCAGACAGCTACGTAACTAGCTGACTACCAGGCTGAACCATACTGACACCAGGTAATGAAGAACAAGAAGACTGCTTTGAGATGACTGATTTGGCTGTTCCCAGTACTACAGAAGATCTCAGGAGTACTCCTGAAACAACTGTTTGACCATTTCAAGCACAGTAGGACTATGTGCATGTTTCTAATTTTCTTTTAACCACTTCTAATCATTTGTACTTAATCATAAAAAATATGATAGATCAGGCAAAACACAATCTAACAGCAGAGTGCATGGGCCCTTTGATTTAAAGAAAAGACTCTTGCAGATAATAGTTTCAAGTGCAATTTTGCAAATTTGGTGAGCTCCTGAAGTTTAAGATACAAATAATGCACTGACAGAAAATGGACGCTTGTAACAGGTAAAGAAGGTGTGCTGGCCATGAGGAAGACAGGAATATTTTATTTTAAAGGCTACAAATGTATAAAAGAAAGATGAAATATAAGGTTTTTCATGTCTCATACTGCCTCAGCTTTCTGATCTCTTGAGTTCTGTATGAGTCTTACTGTTTACTTGTTGCAAACATTGTGCTCAGAGATATTAAGTGCGTGAGGATCACAGATTTGTTTCTGTGCAATGCAAAGCAAAATACTCATGATTTTTAATTCTATTACTGCATTAGGATTGTTCAGTAAGATAAAAAAAATCTTGAATTCCTTCTCATTAAGTTAGTTGTGTAAAACACACAGGATTAAGTGGTAAATATAATAAAATTAGTAAAATAAGCTGGAATGTATCTATCATTTACAATAAATAGCTGCATATAACTGCATTAAATTATCCACAGCAGAATTAGAAGAGCTGAACACCTACTGATGTATTCTACTACATGGTCTCCATGTCTATGTGTACCTATAAAGCTACAATATGGAAAGGACAAATGAAGACACTAGTGTCTTTTCAGCTTATATCCAAAAATATCGTTGATCTATTTCTAATAAATAGCCTGGTAAAAGTATTCCTGAAAATATCATTGCTAAGGAATATTACCCCTGTGTAAAAACTATCCAGAAATAGCTTATTAGACAAATTATCATATTCATCTGAGTTTGCCCAGGAATACTCACCCATGTAAGAAATTGTTCTAACATTTTCTATAGTTTATGAATGAGCTCTCTATACAGAATTGCATTACACAATTAAACCTATTACTGTAAAATCCAGGAAATTGCATTCATGGTAAATTGCATAATTCATGAAGCCAGGCAAAGTGTGGGGTTGGTAAATATGCAAAACTTTTCAATCAACTCAAGTAGAATGAGAGAGGAAAAACACGTTATTGTTGGAGCTTTAAATAGAAAATAAATGTTGAGTGGAGAAATGCATTTTGTTTTACATTCTCATTTAATGCTACAGAGGAAAAAGTGATGAGCACTATAAAAATAAGCAAGAGTTACCTTTATATTTCTCTTTTCCTGTTGTGGTGTAGGTAGAAAGACTCAAAGATTTCAGCTGCTTATTAAATCTAGTGTTGATTAGCTTGACTTACAAAGCTCCTAACTGAAAGTTGATAGCTCTGTAAACTTATTTACATTTTTATTACTTTTGATAGGAGCAAGAGGTGAAATAGGAAGAGATAACTATCTCTGTCGTGCAAATATCTTTGAAAGTATGGAATTGAATATTAAATGGAACATATAAATCTGAGTCTTTAAATTGTTTTTGTACTTGTTTTTGTGTTCTTTCCAACTTCAAGCGCTTTATTCAAAAGACCATTAATACATTGCTAAAATAAATGTTCATTAAAAATGATTTATTATAGCAATCTATTTTTGATCTTTCCATCTTGGCCATCTAAGTGCTATGGTATATACTTATGGCTATTACTATAATGCTTACCCTATTACCATGCTTTAAATTTTTATTATATAAGATGCTCCCTTTTTTAATATTCTAGAGGGGAAACTATCACTTAGAGCAGGATTTTGAGTACAAGCAAAAGTAAAAATTTCAGACTAAGCAAATGCTTTGCCTTTATTCACATTTTGTTCACACTTATGCTGTCAGGACAATGTTAGCAGCCAGCCAAAACAAAGCACGACCATGAGTATTGTAAGGGTTTGGCCTCATGTTTGTGGCAGAGCTCAGCCAACAAACTACTAGTATGTATGTTTGAAAATAAAAGAACACCTGCAGGACAGCTAGGTAAAAGCTGGGGAGAAAGCTATTGCTCATCCATTCATTTATAATCACCTCCAGTTCATGTTCTGGGCTTGGCTGTTTTGATATACCTCGATCTAATCATATTAAATATGAACACACCCTAAGGCTTAACTTAAGACTACTGTGCTAACCTCTTTGAAACAGAAAGATTCTTGTTTCAGATGAAGTTGGTGATATTATGGGAATAACCTAAGAACCAAGCAAGCTTCCCTTCGAGTTAGATATCTACATCAACACTTTATTTCTGTAAAAGCTTCTGATGCCTATTTCCTGGATATATCAGAATACATACTGAGGTGTTTAAACACGGAATAAAGAATTTACCATGAAACTGGATCCTGTAATCTCTGCAGAAATTTGTGATCTAGGAAAGAAAGGACATGAAATCTAAATGCTGGGAAGTTGCTAGTAGATTGAAACTTTCTCTTGGATGCATTGAGTAACTGTGTTATTTCAAACATTGTTTTATACATGTAAATACCGTCACTAATAAGCATAGCCATGTTTTGCAGCAGACTGTTTTCAGTCAATGCAATACACATAAAAACATCTTACATGAAGTCACTGATAGAGTATTTTTTTTTTCCAGCTGAGAAGAATTTGCCTTCTCTAACAACAAACTTATTGCTAACTACTTTGTAGAGCTGCAGCAAGACTAAAATTTACATAGAAAAATATTGACAACTATGAATTAATAAGCCAAAGTTAACAGTCCCTCACAATGATTGCACACACAATTTGAAATGTTCACAAATTAGGAAACGAGTCAAATATATTCTTTTTTCTCAGACCCATACAGTTATTTGCCCTGTCCTTGAACTTCAAACTGCAATTCAAACTCCACAGAACACAGAACTCCAGATTGTAGTAATCCACTGCTAAGTCACACAATAAATGTGAATTGCAAGTCATGTTATCTGGGATGGAGTTGCCACATGAAGAACACAGTAGCATTTATTACTGTTAATGGTTCCAAGAATGTATTCTGCAGATGGTGCAATATTCTTGCACAGATGTAAAGATTTCAGTATCAAAAAAATAATCAAAGACTTTCTTACCTGTTTCCTAGTCCAAAAATATAAAATTCTGATTGATATCAGTATAGCATAGCAAACAAAGCTTCTCTTCTGAGAAGCTTTCAGATTTTTAATTGCTTTTCTTTCCTTAGTATCTCTCTCTCAAGAACTGAAATCTGAGCACCTGATAAATATAGTTGAAGAATACCTAGTATAATAAAATATAAAAGCAAAATATTTAAAATAGTAGAACAAGAAAGACTTTTGCTAGACTGTTTTCAGTAACGTTACAACATCCACTAAAAAAAAATGGCTCACAAGGAATTTGGGAATTTTGAAATACTGGTACTAAAGAAACAAATGTGAATATTCCAAAAAAGTATCCATACAAGATGAATTATCGAAAGAGACTACAGATTGGTTCAATGTGATACAAAAGCTGGGTTTTTCCTTCCTTCTGCTCAGTGTGAACCAAAAAGTCTGTCACACAGTGTCCTTGTCTGAAGGGGAAAACAAAACACCACTACTCCCCTCCCAAACAAACAAACAGATAAATAAATAAAATCAGCCAACCAAAAACCTTCCTGAAAAAGACACCTGACAAGGAAAGCTCGGAAGGACAGTTTTCAGGTTCTTGAGATATACCTACCTGGATAAGTGGTAAGGTCTGAAATGATTTTTCTGGTTAATCTCTGACCAATGAAGAGCTTGCTATGCCGTTTTCCTAATAGATGTTGCAACAGCTGCTCTTCATATAAAGATCTACTCAGTGTGAGATACAGTAAAAGTTTGCTGTTTTCTTATGTATACTTATTAAATGAAATGACCACCTGTTCAGTGTCACTGAAGACAAAATGAAAACTGTCCTGATGTAAAAGTTTTCCAATCTAAACTTGTTCATGCAGTCCCAATACATAATTATGCTGTAAATAATGGAACACCCTGCCAGGGACCTGCAACTGTTCAATGAGCCTTAGGTTTTCTACAGAAAATGTAATTAATTATAGGCAACCCAATCAGAAGTTGAGAGTTGACACTGGCCTTTCTATACAAATCTATTCTTCCACAGAGAAAGGATTAACAGAGCCCTGGGCTTCACACTCATTTATAGCAACACAGAATAGAATAACACAAGATATAAAAAAAAAGGGTATTGGAATCATTTAAGGAAGAGATGAGATGTTGATAGATGAGGGAGGAAATAGCAGTAGCTAAGATGAAGATAAAAAAATCTGGCAGAGTTGCAGCCAGTAAAGCGAAGAACAGCTTTTTAATAACTGTACATAGACAAATTGGAATTACAGGACTCTAAACAGAAGGATAAATGAGGTCACTAACTATATAGTCTAAAATGTTGTCTTTATGATTTATAAATGCTTTTGATGTTCCATTGTGCTATCAGGTTTAATAATTCTTTCAAAACAATTTTACCTTTAGCATTCTCTCTAGTGTGGTATAAAAGCAGAACATCTGTATTCCAAAGCATAAGAGTGTTGCATTGTAAACATCCTTACCCCTCTCACATAAAAATGGAAATATAAATAGTCTGAATACTGTCTACCAACAGATGAAGCTAATGTACTTGAAAGAGAACAGTTTGGAAACAGAACTGTGTCACTTACCAGGACATAAAATGATAATCTTTCAAATGAAATACAAATTTATTATTATTATTTTATTACAAATGAAGCAAAAAATAAAGTTCACAGTGTTAATTGCTACAATTCTGGAAACAGTTAGCAAGCTAACTGAAAGTTCGACATATAAATGACAAGTCCAGCAACTTCTCTTTAACAAGACATAATGAGTTTACATCTGGAAATTCCTCTGGGAATAGAAAATTCATCCTGTTTCTAAGTGTAATAATTTATGTCTGATGAATCTACAATTAATTCCTTCAAAAGTTAACTTTTCAGACTCAATACTATGCTCTGCTTTGTGTCTTTCTATTGAACAGCTAGCTCACAAATTTTAAACCTGTGTGTGTTTCCTTGTAGTGAAAGTTGATCATTCTTTATGGAAACTCTCATCCATTTAGTAAGCTGGAATTAAAATCATAACCATATTTTTCATTTTAAACCTGAGACAACTCAGGACTCATCAGAACTTAACCTTTTTATCACTAAAAGAAGGGACGGAACAAATGTTTCTGAAACAAAGACTGTGGACAATATCCGCATACAGAAATAAATCTAAACAACATTCAAATATTTTAAATGAAGGTGTTATATGCAAAAACATGTGCAATTTATAACTGAGACACCCTGCTTACACACATATTTAACATAGTTGAAATCTCTCAGGAATTCTTGGTGACAATGTTGCTGGTAAGACTGTTGTTATTGTTTTTTGGTGTTTGTTGTAGTTGTTGCTGTTTTTGTGGTGTTTGTTTTTTTTTTTTTTTTGGGGGGGGGGGCAACACCACTACCATATTAATATTTTATATTTCAGTAGCATTTTTATGTGCTTATCAGCAGACAGAATTTTATTATTCATGAAAGGAAAGTCCTTGCAATGACAAAAAAATGCAATTACAAACCCATTAAGGATTCTTGGTAGAATCCTTGTGATTTGGGAAATCACTCCCCCACTCCCTGACACACACACACACACACACACTCATACACCAATTATATTTCTAAGAAGCATAAAGAATATACCAAGATGTCCTCAATATACCAAGACGACTCAAAGTAACGAGCCACCATAGAGGTAGATGTTAAAATACTTATGACATTCTGATGCAAGCTCTTAGGTAAAACATGCAAGTGAGATGTTGTCAAGAGCAAAGCATCTTGTGACAGAGGATGATGAAACTAAAAAGTCATCGTCCAAGAGCAAGCCTCCATATTGGAAGTTGCTGCTGTAAGTTATAATTATGGGAACTATGAAAATCAGAACTCAGGTTAAATTTGTTTTGCCACAATTTCCATGGAAATAGAAAAATATAAAAGTGTTTATTTCCAGCTAGTATTTAATTTCAGGTAAGACTTGTATAATATGGAACCATCATGATTTTTTTCTTTGCAAGGTGAAAATTATGTCTCTCACAAACTTTTCATTGTATTGTACCATCAAAAATTCTGTTTTCCAAACCATATTCTTTATGGTTTGGAAAAATAAAATAATCATTTAAAAAAAAATGGCTTATTACTCCACTAGTGGACATCACTATATTTAGACCTATGCCAATGACATTGCTGTTTCTATAGTAACTAATGTACTTCAGATGGGAAGTAGCAAATGAAAACTGGAAAAGATGAAGCTGAAAAATAGCTAGAGTAAATCAACTTTCTGCAGTTATAGTATATTTCTGCAAAATGCTCATTATGCCTCTGGTTCAGGATAAAG